GTCTTGATTCCCAAGGGCACACAGGGAGTCCAGCTTGGGGTGCAAATAACAAATTATGTCAGCACAGGGAAGTGGGGGAACTTGGTCCATTCAGGGGCCTCCTGCATGCTCTGGCTTCATCGTTTCTGGAAAATATGGCAACTCAAAAAGACAAGTTCAGAGGAACCTTTAACACTCCTTAACGTATGACAAATCAAATTAATATTTTAGGCAGAGCTCTTCTGAAAGTCCAACTCAATATGAGTGTAAGAGACTTTTTTATATTCATTTTTATAAAAGCAAATACTTCTAATGCCAGAAGGTATACTCTCTCTGGGAAGTAGGTATTTATTTTTATATTATCATATGTCACAGAGAGATAACCTACTATGTAACAGGTGCTGTGTTAAGTGCTGGGAATACAAAGAAAGACAAAAAAAAAATCCGTTCTCTCAAGATTTGTTGGAGGATATAGCATGCAATCAACTATGTCCAAATAAGAAATAGACAGGATAAATTATGGGTAGTCATACAGCGAAGGTCCTAAGATTAAAGAGGATGGGAAAAGCTTCTTGCAGAAAGTGGGACTTTAGGTGAGACTTGAAGAAAGCCAGGGAAGCATTGAAGAGCTTTAAACATGGAAGTGGAAAATGAAAATGGAAAAACCTTGGATCTAGGCAGTATAGTGGATGGTGAATAGAGTAATAGACTTAGAGACAGCTAAAACCTGAGTTCAAATCCTACCTCTGATATTTACTATCTGTATTACTGTGGGTAAGTCATCTCCTTGAGCTTCAATTTCCTCTTTTGTAAAATGAGGGACTGAAGGTGATAACCCTTAAGGTCTATCCCAGTTCTAAACCTACAATCGGTGAGTCCAAGCTCCACAATTTACTGACATGTGAGACAGTGGAAAAATCATTTCATCTCAATCTGTTTTCTCATTTATAAAATGGGAATAATAATACTGCACTGCCTACCTCGTAGAGTTGTTGAGGGGAAAGTGCTTCCATAGCATCATAGATTTACAGCTGTATGTAGCCATAGAAGGCATGTGGTCCAGTCTCCATGGTTTTACTGATGGGGAAACGGTTTCAAAGAGGTTCAGTGACTTCCTCTAGGACACACAGATAATGAATGGCAGAGTGAGGATTTGAATCCAGGTTATTGTTGTTTGTCCTTCATTTCTGAAAAGGAGTAATGATGAAGTGATGTCTTGACTTGTGGATGAATTGGATTTAAGTGAGGCAGAATTGTACAAAGTTGTCAGCCTCATTCTCTCTTACTGAGTCGTCAAAGTCCAATGGCTGGACAAAAATCAGGACGACTGATGATGGCTCAGCATACAGTGGATGCTTTGGTGTCTTCAATGTCTAACCAAGTTCTAAGCACTTCACAGAACCTGATTCAGCTGCATTCGTGGCCATTGGAACAAATTGTTCTCATCTGCCCATTCTGCCAGGGGAAGTCTTTACATGCTAGGGGTAGAGGCCCCCCTACCTCACCAACGAGTTTGAGGCCTATCAGTTACTCTAAACCTAGTTTGGCCTGTCTGCTGAGACAGTTTACTGAGGTGTGGCCACTGCGCATGCTACAACTTTTGGAGACACAAATAAGAGTTGAATGCTAGGTGGACATCAAAAGTGGATAAGTAGCCCTGAAAAGGACTCAGTAAACCTTCATACCAGAAGGGCTAGACCTCCTTGAACATCCTATACACCCCTAAATCCAGGTACTCTGATTCCAAATCCAGCCCTATTTCCAAAGTTCCACACTCATTCCTTTGTAAGTCAAAAAGTGGTTTCTGAATGTGAACTATGATTTTCATTTTGTCCACAACTGAAGCCAAGGCACAAAGCTTTCACAAGGCTTACCAAAGCTTCAAGGCAATGTACAACAAAGCACAATTTTCAACCTTTCCTTTGGCATACAGACCCCTTGTCTAGCCTCAGATTTCAGACTTCTTTAACAGAAGCTTAGTATCCAAAAAGGAGGTTATAATCACTGTGTACTCTCTAGATCACATAAGGAGTATTTTCAGCTCTCAGCATCATTTTTTAGTGTAACCAGGGGCTCAAAGTCCATTTGCTAAGATTCTCCTCATCCACAGAGATTGGTTACTCAATTTTCCATGCCTGTGTGAAGGGGTAGAACTGGTGAGAGCTTGGGGAAAAAAGATTCTTGGTGTTCTGGCCTCTAGCTTCTAGAAAGAAGACATGGGGCTCCAGAACTTTTTTAGAGAGAAGTCCCTAAAAGGAGAGAAAGACTCTGGGAAGAAGCTAACATGTAGAGGAGCTGGCCCTTTGATCATGTCCTCATCCCCAGCTTATCACACTAGAGACTTCAAATAATTTCTCCCCAGGTGAGATCTGGGACTTTCTCTCTTGATTAAGCTATCTCACTCCTAGTGGAAGAACTCATTATGTGTATTTTTTGGTGTATTCTCATCTGTATAACTTCTCTGATTTGTTTGCTATTGACTTCGATAAATAGGCTTATGCGTTAATTGCCACCTGTGGTCTTCGTGTGACTTGCATTAAAGAGGAAAGGAATCAAGACTCAGACACACAACTTGGGACACTTCTACACCAATCATATTGATCAGGAGTTCATCTTGAGCCTAAAGGTTATTTCTCCTAGACTAACAATATTTAAGATGTTAAACTGACAATTCTAGCCTGGTAGGTACTCTTTCTCTGAGGAGAACAGAGTGGCCAGTCTCAAAGTCCCAATCTCCTATTCTCCCCTTGACTGGAATCAAAATCTTTCTGGGAAAAGGTTAAGAGGAGGAGGCTCTAGAGATACCTATGTATGGCCCCCTGCAAGCTACAGCTAGACAGACTCATGTGGACACATATGGTCTATATGAGACATACACACATACACACACACACTTTGCATGAGGAAGGATATCAAACTGGAGCAAGAAGGTGACTGGGATAACAAAGAGCCTTAAGATAATGAGGCTCCGTCAAAAGAACAAGGGATGTTTATTCTGGAAAAAGAAGATAAAATAACTGCCTGCAAATACGGAAGAGAGATAAATTGGCATATGAATGGTAAAAGTGAAACCAGGCTGAGAAAAGTTGCAAGGATACAGTTCAATGTAAAGAAGAACTGTCTAACAAGTTGAGTTGTCAAAAAACCACAATGGAAGGGTTTTCTTGTATGGTAATGTCTGAACTCCCCCCAAACAAAATCCAAGGGAAAGGTTTTCTTATATAGTGACCAGTGAGTTCCTCATTACTAGAGCTGTTCAGGGATCCGTCAGTGGCACTGCAGAAGGATTGGCAGCATTGCGTACAGAGGAGGCTGGACAAGATGATCCCTAAGATCCCTTCCAGTTCAGAGATTCTACGATTTTTGTTGCTTCTTTCCTCCCAGGTCCTTCATTGATCTCATTCAAAGCAGGAAACCTGGTTCTAAGTACTCTCTTCTCTCTCTGTCTCTCCCTCCCTCCTTCTGTTTCTGTCTCTCTGCCTCCCTTTCTTTCTGTCTCCCTGTCCGTTTCTGTCTGTCTCTCCCTCCCTCCCTCCTTCTCTCTGCCTCCCTGTCTGTTTCTCTCTCACACTCTCTGTCTCTGTCTCCCTGTCTTTCTCTCTCTGTCTCCCTGTTTCTGTCTCTCACTCTGCCTCCGTCTGTCTCTCTGCCTCCCTGTCTGTCTGTCTCCCTGTCTCTCTCTTTCTCTCTCACTCTCTGTCTCCCTGTCTTTCTGTCTCTCTCTCTGCCTCCCTGTCTGTCTCTCTCTGCCTCCCTCTCTCTCTGTTTCCCTGTCTGTTTCTGTCTCTCTCTGTCTCCCTGTCTGTTTCTGTCTGTCTCTCCCTCCCTCCCTCCTTTTCTCTCTGCCTTCCTGTCTCTCTCTCACTATCTGTGTCCCTGTCTTTCTCTCTCTCTGTCTCCCTGTCTCTGTCTGTCTCTCTCCCTCCCTCTCTCTCTGTCTCCCTCCCTCTCTCTCTGTCTCCCTGTGTCTCCCTGTTTCTCTCTCTCTCACTCTGTCTCTCTGTCTCCCTGTCTGTTTCTGTCTCTCTCTGTCTCCCTGTCTGTTTCTGTCTCTCTCCCTCTGTCTCCCTGTTTGTCTCTCTTTCCCTCCCTCCCTCCTGTCTGTCTCTCTGTCTGTATCTCTTTCCCTCCCTCCCTCCTTCTCTCTCTGTCTCCCTGTCTCTCTTTCTCTGTCTCCCTGTCTCTTTCTCTCTCTGTCTCCCTGTTTCTCTCTCTGTCTCCCTGTCTGTTTCTCTCTGTCTCTGTCTCCCTGTTTCTGTCTCTCTTTCCCTCCCTCCCTCCTTCTCTCTCTGCCTCCCTGTCTGCTTCTGTCTGTCTCTCTTTCCCTCCCTCCTTCCTTCTCTCTCTGCCTCCCTGCCTTTCTCTCTCTCTGTCTCCCTGTGTTTCTGTCTCTCTTTCCCTCCCTTCCTCCTTCTCTGTCTCCCTGCCTTTCTCTCTCTCTGTCTCCCTGTCTGTTTCTGTCTGTCTGTCTCCCTGTCTGTTTGTCTGTCTGTCTCTCTTTCCCTCCCTTCCTCCTTCTCTCTGTCTCCGTCTTTCTCTCTCTCTGTCTTTGTGTTTGTTTGTCTCTCTTTCCCTCCCTTCCTCCTTCTCTTTCTGCCTCCCTGCCTTTCTCTCTCTCTGTCTCCCTGTCTGTCTGTCTCTCCCCACCTCCCTCCTTCTCTCTCTGCCTCCCTGCCTGTCTCTATCTCTGTCTCTCTCTCTTTCTCCTTCCCTCCCTCCCTCCTTCTCTCTCTGTCTCCCTGTCTGTTTCTGTCTTTCCCTCCTTCCCTCCTTCTCTGTCTCCCTGTTTCTGTCTCTTTCTCTTTCCCTCCCTCCCTCCCTCTTCTCTCTCTCCCTTCTCCCCCCCCCCGTCCCTTTCCTCCTCCCCTCCCCAGTCCATCCCACAAGGCCCGCAGGAGGGGGAGGGGTAGGTGGGAGAGGCTCCTTGGGCTCCGCTGAAACAGCAAGCAGAGAAGGGGAGGAACGCCTGCGCCGGAACTGGTTGTTCCTGCCCGACCACGGAGAGGGAGGGACCGGAAGTAGAAGCGCCTCCCGCGCTTCTGCTTCCGGCCACCTCAGCGGGGGAAGAGGAGACGCAGGCAGAGGGAGCTGCCGGAGCGGAGTGCCGAGCGGTCTCGGAGCGGAGAACGAAGGGAGACGAGAGTAACTGCCAGTGTCGGGGGGCGGTGTCGGCTCCCCTGTAACCGGAAGAAATGGTGTTGCTGACGATGATCGCCCGGGTGGCGGACGGACTGCCACTGGCGGCCTCCATGCAGGAAGACGAGCAGGTGAGGGGAGATGGTGCCACCCGCCCCCTCCTCCCCGAGAGAAGCCCGAGCCTTGGTTCCCTGCTCCGCCTGAGTTCGTAGGGGTGGAGGCAGGGAGTGCATCTGCTGTAGCACGCTACCGGGGTGTGGAAGGGACTACCTGGGGGAGGCAAGCACTCCTCGGGGTGCACGTGTTGGCGGTGGGGTGGGAAATAAGTTGTTACACCCCCAGCAATGCGGATCCATCGAGGTAGGTGCGTGGCTGTGCCCACCATCCGCTTAGTAAGAGTTTGTTGAATTGAATTGGAAGCCGCAACTTCGCCCTGGGAAAGAACCCTGCCACGCTGTCTGACCCCTGAACGAGTTAAATTTTCTCTTTACCTCCCTTTCCTTATCTATAAAGTGGGGCCAGCCACTAATCTTTGACCCAGCTCACTGGAATCATTACATGGTTGATGAGGAAATGTGTCTCAATTCTTTTAAGCTTCTTGGGAGGAAGGTATTTATATGGGTAGTAAAGTTAGAGGTTACTAAAGAAGGATGAGAAGATTTAAATTGTAGTCTGACTTGTTTAAATCCCCCAAACATGAGAGAAGTAACGTTTTTCTTATGGCTTCAGCTCAGCTCAGCAGACACCCTGTGTATTAAGTGCCTGCTATGGTCAAGACTCTCTTAAGCCCCGTGTCAGTGACCTTACCTTGGTGAGAGAGGTGACCCTGACTTCTTCAGATTTTTACCAACCAAAGCCCTGGGAGGTTCTATCAGCCATTAAAGATTGGAATCTCAGAGTTGGCAGCGGTGTCAGAGGTCATGGAATACAACTTTTAGCCGAACAGGAAGCCTTTGCTAAATCTCATTGGCCTCCCTGAATGTGATCCTGTTTGTCGTTATTTTTCCTAAAATGTCCTGCTTGCAACTGACCGCAATACAGTGGATGGAGGCTGCCCAGGACAGATCCAGCAGAACTATCACTTCTTTTGTTGTGGACACCAGTACCTCTCACTAGGGAAGCCCAAGGTCACATTAGCGTCTTTGGCTGCCATGTTGTCATAATGTTGACCCTTTGAAATCACAGTCCAGTCAATTCCTGGCTCTTTGTCATGAGCAGCAAATCTCCTCATAGCAAGTGACAGCATCTAAGGCCCAACCTAGGTGAGTTCAGAAAGATTCATTATCTCGCATTTGATTAGCACAGGATGAATTCTTCTGACTCTAGCAGCCCATGAAGACCAAGGGAAGGATTGTGGTTGGGATGGTGGAGGATGAGATCATTATACCATTCAAGGCCTGTGCACAGGTGAAATCTTGAGAGAGGTTATCTCAAGGTACCTATGTTGTTATTCAGTCGTTTTTCAGTCAAGTCTGACTCTTTGTGACCCCATTTGGGAGTTTTCTTGGTGGAGAGACTAGATTGGTTGACCATGTCCTTCTCCAGTTTGTTTGACAAATGAGGCAAACAGGGTTAAGTGACTTGCCCAGGGTCACACAGTTAGTAAGTGTCTGAAGCCAGATTTGAAATTGGGAAGATGAGTCTTCATTACTCTAGACTCGACCCTCTGCCCACTGCACCACTTTGCTGCCCTATGCAAGTACCTATTATGCTCAGGTCTATACAAAAGACATCATACTATAGTGAAGGAGCATTGGAGGGAAGAACTTGGAGACTTGAGTTCTTTTTTTGGGGGGGAGGCGATGGGGGATTGGGGTTAAATGACTTGCCCAGGGTCACACAGCTAGTAAGTGTTAAGTGTCTGAGGCTGGATTTGAACTCATGTCCTCCTGACTCCAAGGCCAGAGCTCTCTATTCACTGCGCTGCCTAGCTGCCCCGAGACTTGAGTTCTAATCCTGACAGATCCTGATTGGTTGTTTGATATTGGACAAATCACTTAATTTTTTGAAGCTATAAAATATGGGTGACACTTGTTTCTCACTGCCTCCATCACATGGTTGTTATGTAGAAAGGGTTTTGCAAACTTACAATGCTGTGTGAATGTGAGTTACAATGTTGAGATTGATGAAGGAGGATCCAGTGCCGTCCTTTTAGATGTGTTTATTTCCTACTCATAATATCCATGTTGAGAAGGACAGGACAGAAGTGCGCGTTTGCCATTTTGTGGGTGAGAAGACTGAAGCTCAGGCAGACTTTGTGATTTGTCAGGGGCACTGAGACAGTGAGCAACCTCTAGAGCTGTAACTTAATTCTTCTTTGATTTTCCTAGCCACTCTCTATGCTCCCTCTTAGTTGAAGACTGTTATCAAAGATCCGAAGACTTGACTAAAGCTTTGCTCCTCTCAGTGTCTTCCGCAAAGCCTGAAGTCCTTGCTGAGCGATAGACAGCCCTACATGCTAGAGATGAGACCTGTGGAGATTATTATTTCAGCTACCATCAGAGATAGCGTCTCTGGTCTGTTAGCACTTATGGGAACATGTTTCTCAGACAGGATTTTTGATTTTGATTTTACAGCTGAAAACTGTGTTACACAGATGAATAACTTTAAAGATTTGAAGTGGCAACTTGAGAAAAAGGAATAGAAATTATATGGCAGTTTAATGGTTCTAAATTAGCTGATTTTATTGGAATCAAAAGCATCTAAAGACAGAATGGGAAAAGTTTTAATTAATTCAGAAGGTTAGCACAATATTTGATAAGCTTATTGTTAAAGTTGTCCGTTCAGCTTTGACATAAATTAAAAGATGGGAAAGGACAGCACACATTTAATTTTGTGCATCAGTTTTTAGATATACCAAAGCAACCAAAATTTAAGATGATGTATGTAAAAAAACTCAAAAGGGTTGGAACGATTTCTTAACAGATATAAGTGGAAAAAATGTTGAAAAGAGCCACAGAATCAAGAATTACAGTTGATAGAAGAGAAGTAAAAGCAGTTAATAACAGGTATGCTTTTCCCTGCTCTGAAAATTAGAACAGTTATTTGTCTTTTCTAATATCTGAAGTCATGAAATAGTGGCAAGATCACTGCATATAGAGGCAGAAGACCTAGCTTTGCTCCTTTTTAAGCTGTCTTACTTTGTGCAAGTTAGGTAATTTCTCTGGGCTCATTTTTCTCATTTATAAAATGGGTGAGTTGGAGTTTTTTGTAGTTCATTTCAGTGCTAAAAGAAATTTCTAAATCCAGAATATGATATTTGAGAATTAAGCTGATTCATGCTGATCCCCAGCCATGTAATAGATTCAAAGTGTTTTCTGTTCAGCTTATTATAAGTGTTAAACCCTTCCTGGTCTGCCTATCTCATCCTCTTATCTTCTTTTATTACATACATCTGTGCCTTTGCTGACATTGTCCCCTGTGCTTATAATAGCCACCCTTTCCTCTATATCCAACTGTTAAAATCTTAACTTTCCTTCTAGACCCATCTCAGTTGCCACCTCATCTATGAAGTCTCTTCAGTAGAAGTATCATAGCACTTTGTTTGGATCTCTTTTTACTTAAGACATTATGCTTTGTATTGTAAATTGTTTGTAGATATGCTTTCTTTTCTTTGTTGGATTATAAAGTCCTCAAGAGTAGAGCTCATATCTTATTTCATTTTAATATCATCAGTGCCTGAGCACTTAACTATTTGTTTCATATAATTGAATTTAGGTGATCCAGTTAAAACACTAAATCTTATTAGGACTTTTCTCAGACCCATTTAATGAAATCAGAGGTAGGTATGAGTGCATCCTCTTGTGGCAAATGTTTATTTCCATTTTGTTGGAAGGCCTTTAAAAATTATCCCCTGTTTGAAGTTAGAACTAACCTCTGTAAGTGAGGAATAGAAATTTCAATCCATCTTTCAGTTAACCTGCTGTGTGCAAGGGACTGTGCTAAGCACTGAAGATATATAAGGTATCTGCATAATAAACATAAGGGAATGAGGTAGGGGAGGCCCTAGGAGCTGGGAGTATCAGGAAAGACCTTGTGGAAAAAGAAGGTGGCACTTGAGCTGGGTTCCAAGAATGAAAAGAGAGTGCATTGTGGACCTTGGGCAGCCTGTGCAGACACAGAGATGGGCTCAGCAGTGTTATGTGAAGCTATTTTGGTTGAATTGCAGTTTGTAAAGAGGAATCATATGTAACAAGGCTGGAAAGGTTTGTTAGATCAAAGATGTGGAGGGCTTTAAATGCTGCATAGGGAAGTTTGCTTTTGACCCTAGAGATAATAGGGAACCACTGGAATTTATTGAGCGAAGGAGTGAAAACCTGTATTTTAGGAATGCCATTTTGATAACTTTGTGCAGGATGGGTTGGAAGAGGGGAGAGGTCAGTTAGGCAGTTTCAGTGGTCCAAATGAGAAATCCTGAGGGTTTGAGCACTAGGTGCTGTCTGTGCAAGGGATGTTGTGGCGGTAAAATCGGTAAGACTTGGGAACAGATTGAATACCTGGAGGGGAGAAAAATGAGGGGTTGGAGATGGCTCCCAGGGTGTGGCTAAGGATAGTGGTGCTCTCAGCAGAAAGAGAGAAGTTAGTTGGGAGGGGGGAGAGAGGGGAGAGGAGAGGAGATGAGACGGTGTTTCAGAGGAAAGATAATGAATTTTGTTTTGGATCCACCGAGTTTGAGATGCCTATAAGAAATTCAGATGGAAATGTCCAGGATGCATTTAGACTGGGAGCCAGGCCAGGGCTAGCTTGATAGATCTGGAAGTCATCAGCAGTAAAATGATAATTAAACCCGCAAGGCTTAATGGTGCCACTGAAAGAGAATTACCAAGAGAGAACAGAAGAGGGCACGGGACAAAGCCTTACGGTGCTCACTCCCTGTTCAGGAAAACAGTGTGGATCATATGATCAAGAATTTTACTCTTAAACTTCTTATCTAGGCAGTACATTCTTAAGTAGAAGACTGGAGATGAGCAGTAATTCCTGTGACCTAAAGCAGCAGAAAATCCTCACATAGGGATAGACAGTTACTTGCAAACCTTATCCTCTTTGATGCTTAGCTGGGAGTGTGGTGGACACAGGGAGATACATATTATTCATATACATTGTGTTGCTCTGCCCCTCCATTTCCCTCATTTTATTTCAAGCTCTCTTTAGGTCTTCCTTCTTTTCTGGCCTGCTGTCCCTAATTGAGCTGTGTACCTCATCTTAAATTAGCGTGGCTGGGGGGGACACATTCAAAAGTGGAGCAGAAGCTAAATCTGCCCAAAGGGGGCAGAAGAGAGAGCCTGAAGTCAACAGATCCTCCATAGTGCAGCTGAATTTGTGAAAAACCAGTTATTGAACGTCTTCTCTCATTGCTTTGGAGGAAGGTTCTTGGTACTTCTGGCCTTTGGCCACCTTTGGAGGAGGCAAACAGAAACTTAAGATGGAATGGGCTAAGCTAAACACTCCTCTGTGGCCGGCAGGCAGCATTTGATCAGTTTGTTTGTTCAGTCTAAAGCAGTAAAACCTTGTACTGCCTGTAACATCCTCTGTATCTTTATGGTAAACAGAAAGTTGAGTTTTTAATTGGCTTTTCAAAAGCCCCTTGATTTTATTTTAGAATTTGTCTGGGGATTTTAACCCATTCTGTCTCACTATACTATCTGCAGTCACACTTTTTTATTTTTTGTCGCAGTTCTGTGAATAGAACATAGGATAAAGAAGAGCATGTTCTAAAGGGGACTGGCATAGTGGGGTCCTGTGTGGACCTCGAGTTTGCAAATAAGCAGAATCTATAAAGCAGCACTTATGCTTTATCTTGGGAGATTGGGATCAGAGCTGTCAAATCTGGTTTCTTGAGCTTTAACTACGAACCATAATATTAAATAATAAACAGGACCCTCAAGAATGATGTCCTGGAATAGAGCTGAACAGTGCATTCGTGTGAGTAAGGATTGTGTCATTTGTTGTATCCCCAGCACTTATGTGCTTGGTACATAGTAGGTACTTAATGAAGTACTTAATTGATCAGAAGACCAAAGTTATTCTAAAATTACAGATAACCCTCAGCGTAAATTATTTGTGCAATATAAAAAAAGATTACCTTCACCCCTGTGATGCCTGTATACAAAAGTAAAACAACAAAATTACATTTCCTTTGAACAAAAAATTTTTAAATAAATGAATAGGCCAGTGCATTTAACTCAGATTTTTGCATCTGCTTATTGTAAAACAAATTTGATGTTTAGTTTACATTGGTGTGAGGGATAAGAGCAAATAGAAAATAAAAATATCCTTACAGGTAACAAAATTATTTGTAGTTTAAATCCTGGAGAAAAGTGTATAGGCCAAATGAGGTTTGATTGGTATTCTGTGATATATCTACTAAGGGACATTTATTTGTGGTAAAGCAAGGATTATCCCCTGTGGTGTCCACCTAAAATATACCCTGAAATTTCCTAGTTTCTCTTAGTCATGAATTTGTCTAAATCCTGTTTTAAGTCTTTGCCATCTCTTGGGCTAACTAGTTATTTTTAAGTTTGGTAATTAGTGTACAGCAATAAATGGTAAAACCTTGGGAAAAGGGTCATTCTGGTTAGCCAAGTTTTGGGTTTGGTTTTTGGTTTATTTTTTGGTGTTTTTTTTTTTTAGCTCTGGGGTAAACACCAAAACTTGTATAGTAACCATTTTTGAATGTAGATGCTATTAAATTGCATCTCCTATTTCCCTACCCTCTTAAATAGAATACATAGAACGTAATTTTTTCTTGATGACTGAAAGTCATCATTGTGAACATCAGAGTGCTTTAGAAAATCATAATGGCAGCTGCGTAGAGGATGGGTTGGGGGAGGAGAGATTTGAGTCAAAGAGGCCAGTTAAGGAGGGCTGTTGCCAATAGTCCAGGTGAAAGGTGATGAGGACTTGAAGTAAGGCGGTGGTTGTGTAAGTAGAGAAAAGGGGACGGATGTTAAAGGTAAGGGAGGTAGAATCAGTCATCGTTGGACACAAGTGTCAGCTACGTGAGGAGATTGGAGGTTCAGGATGACAATGAGATTGTAAACCTGGCTAACTGGAAGGGTAGTGGTTGATGTGTCCTGAGGAGTAGCAGCAAAGTTTGGAAGAGGATTTCAGGGGAGAGACAGTATAATGAGGTCTGTGTTGAAAGCCCTACAATTGTCTATCATGGGGAAATTGGTATGTAACATGTCTCACCATGTCATGGTTGGCTGTTTCCTACACCCTTTGGAGTCCTGCTCTCATGTCTCCCTTGGCATCAGGCTATGGCCTCCACTTTGGAGACCACTCCTATAGGTAATCCTAACATTATTATTGCTCTTTGACAAGACAGCTGGATCTTTTAGCTTAGCTTATTTCCTGTATTTAAGGTAATTATCCATGATGAAACCTCAGTTCAGTCACATGATAAAATTTTTAATCATGTGGAACCATAGCAGATGGTTTTGAAAATATAACTAAATTATATACACTAGTTCTACCTAGTCACTTATTTACACAAATATATTCTAATAGGTTAGTGAGATGGAATTTCCCTTACATTGACTTCTCCCGTTTTCTTAAGTTTTTTTTTAGTGAGCCCCTCAAGCTCTAGGTCATACAATCTGTGATCTGTAATATGTAGATTAAGTATGAAACATGATATATTTCAAACCATAATATTTATAGTTGTGTGCTAGAAAGGATTATTTTCCTCCTCTTATAAATGATTGAATTAATGGTATAAGAATGTGGGCCATAGAGGAAACCAATTGGGGGCTGGGATTAGAAGCTGTGTTTTCTGACTTTTGGTCTTTATGAACAGTAAGCCATGTATCTGACTGCTAAATTATGTATAGTTGAAGTATACTCATTTGGGTTTTGGTAGATAGCTAACGTAAATTTTCTTAAGTGACTTTAGCCCATTTTTTTTGTGCTTTTGAAACATAGTTTCCACTTCCCATAAAAGCATAATGAATATAAAGCATTCTACAAATATTAAAAGCTTCTATAAGAGTAAGTTCTTATTACTGACTTTGAAACGAAGGTCCCATTCAGAGTATCCTTTCAGAGGCAGGTTTGTGGTTCGGCTCATTAATAACTCAGCTTTCTGGTGGGTTCTTATATGAATTTTTAATTTCTCTTTTCAGTCTGGCCGGGACCTTCAACAGTACCAGAGCCAGGCCAAGCAACTGTTTCGCAAATTGAATGAACAGTCCCCTACAAGATGTACCTTGGAAGCAGGAGCCATGACTTTTCAGTGAGTATGACTGATTTATTTGTTTGTGATCACTTGAGTGAAGTGTAGTGATCTAACTTGGGGATGTTTGAACAGGATGGTGGAATCTAGTTGGAAGATCTGGGCTTAAGGAAAGTGGAATATGCATTGAGGAAAGTTAAAGGTCAGCACCTCATTCCAAAGAAGAAAGGATTGAATAGCTGTTTCCTCCCCAGTAACAAATGCATCTCTTTTTGCAACATTTAACTATTTGTGGATCTTTCATTTATTAAAAATTAACTCAGGCAGATATATTAAGTGTAGCAAGTATCACCTAAATGGGAAATGTTTTATATTAAAAAATAGGACTTGCATTGTTCCATGATGCTTGTAAATGGAACTTTTAATAACAGCTTGCCTTAAATGCGATGAATGGCACTTTTGTAGCCAAGGGGAAAAAAAGAAAATAATTTCTAGTACATCCATGGAAACTTCTCTGCCTCTGAATATTAAAAACTTGACTCTTGGCACCTTCATTTAGAGAACTTAGACTAATTTGACCTACATTTGCCAGTTTTTATTAAATGTTACATCAAATACAGGTCAGGAAGAGCTGAGGAGCATCACAGATACTTGGGAGAAGAAAAGGGCAATTCATTTCAGCAAACATTTAGTAAGCCCCTATGACGTGTGGGGAATTCAGCACACAAAGGCAAGTGAAACAGGCCTGGCCCTCCAAGAGCTTTCATATTGGGGAAATGTGTCCAAGGATGAGCACATCCAGTGTAATCTGAGGGACATCCCAAAAAGATTCCTATGAGGGAATGGCACCTGAGCTGGTTCAGGAAGAAAGATGAGAATTCTGAGAGACTGAGGAAGAGGAAGCCACCCAGGTTTTCCACCAGACTTGTGCAAAGATGCAGAGATGGAAGGTAGAGTGGTGCATTGGGCAGACAATTTACCTGGGACATAGAGTGCACGAAGAGGAATCGAAGAGAAGTATGAGCTATATTGTGGAGGGTTTTCAATGTCAGGTTGAGGAGTTTATATTTCATCTGAGGAAATAAGGAATCATGGCAGATTTTTGCCCAGAAGAGTCACATGATCACACATCTATTTTGAAAATAATAATTTGGCAGCTGGGCAGTAGAGATTGAATGAAGGGTGTGTGGTGGGGGGCAGTGTATTAGGGTGCTGTTGTAGCAGTCCTGGTGATAGATGACAAGCATGCAGATCAGTACCAGAGACAAGAGAATGGATGAGAAAAGTGGTAAAGTGATAAAGAAAAAGAAAGCAAGGCTCTTTTGTGAAGGTTAGGAGTTGTGTGGTTTGTGTTGGTCAGTGCAGGTGATTACCCAGATTGATAACAGTGGGGTAGGCAGTACTGGAACAGGATGATGTACCAACCTAAGGATTGTCAGTTGAGTGTTCCTCTTTGATCCAAGGCTGAGAACCTCTTGCATACACTAATATGATGCCACACCAGAGGGAGTGTGAGCAAAGTGTATGTACATGTATAGCTGGCTTTAAAGCTGTCCGTAGTAATGAGAAGTAGCAATAGCGGAACAGATTCACAGATGCAGTTTTAAACTCCTCCCTTGCCTAGAGCGGCTGACTAATAAGTGAGGTTCTTGAAGGGCAGCTACAAATTGTATTTTCTTTCCTCTTTTTCTATGCTTCATGTATTTAATATACTCACTTTCCAGAGCTGACATGTCACTCTGCTTTCTTGGTTTTCTCCTCATTTCTCTGTGTTGTCTCTGTGACCTTTGGTGGCTCCTTTTTTATCCAGTGTGTTTGTGCGTATGTCTCAGATCCTATTCTTGGTCCTCGGTTTGTTCCGTCAGTGCGCTCATCCACCTCCATTTAAGCAACAACAGTTACTGACTGCTTTTATTTTAACATGAGTGATTTCCCGACACATCTCCTTGGTCCATTTGGCCTTCCGTTGTAACGGGGGAAAATGTTAAACGAAACCAATGAATACAGTATTCTGCCTTGTTAGTCCCCTACCTCTCTACTGAATAGATGAAAGGGCCTTTTATCATCTGTTCTGGACCAAGATGAATCATTATAATTACTCAGTGTGACTTTTCAGTGTCCTTTTTATTTTTATTATTCTAGTCACATATATTGTTCTCTTGGTTTGCTTAATTTACCCTGGACTAATTCATAAAAATCTTCGCATTTATTTCTGAATACATCATATTTGTCATTTCTTGTGGTGTGATAATATTCCATTGCATTCATGTCATAGATTCAGAACATTTCAGAGTTGGGAGGGGTCATTTAGCTCAGTCTCTACCCGAGCGGAATCCCTGGTATAGCCACACCTCACAAGCGGGCATCCAGCCTCTGCCTGCAGACTACCAGTGTAGGGAAACCCAGCACTCTTCAAGTAGCCCATTCTGCTCTGGGAGCTCTAATTGGTAGAAAGTTTCTCCCAACACAAAGCTTACATTCGTTTCTTGGCAGCTGGTACCACTTTCTTCTGGGGTCAAACAGAACCAGTCTGATCCTTCTTTAACATACAACTCTTTAGACTTTTGCAGTCCGGTCATATTTCCCACAGTAGATAATTTTTATCCATGATCAACGTTGATTTCTTTCAATTAATCTTTATATGACATAGACTCAAAACTCTTTACCATCCTGGCCTCTGGATACTTCAGTTATCCTTCAGTGAGTAGGAATCTTCTTTGCTTACAGTTATTTGCTACTGCAAAAAGTATCACTATGAATATTTTGATATGTATGGAGCCTTTTTTCTTTTGGCAAGACAGTTGGGGTTAAGTGACTTGCCCAAGGTCATACGGTTAGTGTCAGCTGTCTGGTCTGAGACTGGATTTGAACTTGGGTCCTCCTGATTCTAGGGCCTGTGCTGTATCCACTGTGCCACCTAGCTGCCCCAAGCCTTTCTATTTTTGACCTCTTTGGGTTTCTGTCCCGTCATGGGATCTCTGGATCAAAGGATATGTACAGTTTATAGTATCTTTTCTCATATGGTTCCAAATTGTTCTCTAAATCAGTTGTACCAATTCACAGTTTTGCCAACAGTATATTAGTGCATCTTCCCATAGCCACTCTAACCTTTTCCTATTTTCATTTTTTATTATTCATGGTGGGCGTGAAGTGGAACATCAGAATTTTTTAAATTTAAAAATTTATCAGTGATTTGGAGCATATTTTCACATATTTGGATAACTTGAAATTCTTTCAAAAACTACCCATATCCTTTGACTGTTTTATCCATGGGATATGGATCTTGGTCTTATTTTGCTGTTCCTCCACTTTATATAAATGACTCTCGAATCTTTATCTCCAGTCCCAGACTCCTCCATTCATATGTGTTCAGCTATCCAAAGGACGTATTCACTGAGATACTGGCCAAAACTAAATTCGTCTTTTTTTCCCCCCTCTTTCTCCAGCATCAGTAGTAGTGCTTTTGTCTGGTCTCTCAGGCTAGAAATCTTCTGAGTGGTTTTTTACTGTTCTTTCTTCCTATGTGTCATGGCTGTCATTAAGTTCTATTTTCAGAACTAACCTGAATCCATTCTAGTGTAGGCATAGAGTTGTGAATCACTCTAGAATAGCTAGGTAGTGTTTGAATTCCCATGTTGGCTCCAGGATAATTTAGGCTAGTGAAACTCCTGGGTCAGGACTGGTCTGGCCTCATGTGGTGGGCATAGAATGGAATTTTCCTTTATAATGTTTTAATAGGAACCTCAGTAATAATACTTAGTTAATGTGAATGGTAGAGATAATGTAGTCTGACTCTCCAACCAAAACAGAAAGATTAATATAGAATAACACAGATCTTGATGGGATGGAAACCAGATAAGTTTTGCAGGAATTTAAAAAAAAACACAAATAGGATAAACTAGTAGAATCATAGAATTGTGTAATTGGAAGAGATTTCAATATATTGGATATGCAGATCCAAATCATGGTTTCCTCTAGTGGTCATCCATCTACCAATCAACTTATAAGCGCTTGAAGTGTCTAATATGTGCCAGGTACTGGGGAGATGGACAAAAATGAAGCAGTCTCTGCCCTTAAGGAACTTATATTTTATCAGGGAAAACAATGCATACATACATAAGCATATACAAATGAATACAAGGAATTGAGAGTGAGTGGGGTCAGGAGAGGCTTTGAGAAGCTTGGATGAACTTTGGAAAAAACTAGGGATTTGGCATTCTGAGAAGTGGTGCTAAAGAGAAAGTACATTCCATGCATGGAACACAGCCTGAGCAAAGGCACGGAAAGGGGAGTGTCCTGTGTAAGGATTAGCTCGGTGGCCTCCTTGGCTAGGCTACAGGGGGAAGGGAGCAATCAATAATAAGGCTGGAAAGGCGGATTGGAGTCAGCTTGTAAAGGGCTTTAAATGTCAAACAGTGAGCCACTGGTGCTTATTGAGCAGGGGAATAATATGGTTATCCCTTTGCTTTAGGAAAATCACTATGGCAGTTATGTGGAGGATGAGTCAGAGAGGGGGGGACACATGGGGCAGGCAGACCAATTAAAAGGCTGTTACAATAGCCAAGTGAGAGTTAATGAGGGTCTGAACTGGAGCGTTGACTATTTGAGTAGAGCAAAGGGGACAGATGTGAGAGATGTTGTGGAAATAGAATTGACAGTGTTTGACCACAGATTGGATGTATGGGACGAGGGAGGAATCTAGAATGACTCTGAAGTTGTAAATCTGGGTGACAGAGAATGGTGGCATCCTCAGCAGAAATAGTGGAGTTCAGAAAATGAGTGGGTTTTTAAGAAAAGGCCAGTTCTTTTTTTGATGTGTTGAGTTTGAGATGCCTGCAGGATAATCTTTTTAAAGTGTCTAATGGGCAGCTGGTGTTTGAAAACGCAAGAGGTACTGGACCTGGATATAGAGATCTGATGGTCATCTGCATGGATGGCGGTTAAGTCAGTGAGTTCATCAAGAGAGTGTGGAGAAAGACAGGCAGCTCAAGACAGCACTCTGGAGTACATCCACAGTTAGAAGGTGCCCGTGAATTATGATATAGCAAAAGAGAGAGAACCAGAAGAGCAGCGTTACAGAAAGCTAGAGAGGAGAGAGGAGGAAACAATGGTCAGTGGTATCAGAGGCTGCGGAGAGAGCGCAAGAGGTGAGGATTGAAAAATGAGCAGCAGATCTGGCAGCATATAACCTGGAGAGATCCTTCATAATGATAGAGAGAGCAGTTTCAATTAAGTGATGAGATTGGAAGACAGGTGGCAGAAGGTGAAGAAATGAATGAGAAGAGAAATGGAGGCAGTGAAAGGGAGGAGACCTCCAGGATACTAGTTTGTGTTGCATACCATACCCAGCTTTAAAATGGATTCCACCAAAATCTCCACCTATTGAAGTCTTTTCCTTCCTTCAAGGCCCGGTTCACGTGTCACCTTATTCGTGAAACTTTCCTTGAATCATATCTTCCCCTCTGACCTTTCCTGTCAACCTACATCAGTCTACTATTTGTTTGTGTGACTCATTCCACTTCTAGATTATAAGCTCCTGAAGGGCAGGGACTTTTTTTTTTTTGCCTGTTTGTATCCTAGTACAGCACCTAGTACAGTGCTTAGCACATAGTAAGCACACAGTGTCTTTATGAATTTATTTAGAATTGAGACAGTGGGATGACTTGTTTGGCCAGTGTTTGAACTGAACAATATCAAGTCCCTTCTAGGATTCTAGGGTTGGCTTTCAATTTTTAGGTACATTTTTAAAAGTTCATTTTGCTGTTTCCAAGTATAGTAGGGAAGGATTTAAATATGAATCCAATAAATGTAATTATAGGGTGGATGGATTTGCAAGTAAGAATTCTCAAGGAATAGCTTTAGATGTTAAAGAAGATGTTTAAGTGAAGGAATTTTTTTAATAGATTGTATATGAAAGTTTTAAAATAAAGTGCTGTATAAATAAATTACTCTTGCTTTTGGAATATACTTCTAGTTAATGGAAAAATTATTTTCTGGCCTAAAGGCTACGTGGTTTATAATTTAGTCTTTCTGACTTTCCAGCCTGAAGAAAGGATAGGTAAGAGCCCTCTTGTGCTATCAAGAATAGGCGTGAGAACTTGCATGCCAGAAACAACATTAACTATATGGTTACTTTTTTGACTTTTTATCTTTCCAGTTACATTATTGAGCAGGGTGTGTGTTACCTGGTTTTGTGTGAAGCTGCTTTCCCCAAAAAGTTGGCATTTGCCTACCTTGAGGATTTGCACTCCGAATTTGATGAACAACATGGAAAGAAGGTGCCCACTGTCTCCAGACCCTACTCCTTCATTGAATTTGGTGAGGCTTTAACTTGTACTGTGCTATTGATGAGTCAGAACTCAGGAAGTTTTTTGCTTAATTGAAGTCCTGTGCTACCATTTTTCTAAGGCTTAGAGCTTTATTCTTTATCTTCATAACATCCCTCAGCATTCAGCATTCTTTCTTGTGCAAAAGCCTGAACGATGTAATTCAGTCTCTTGATCTCGTTTCCCCTAGAAATGTTAGCTTTCTTGGTTCCTGATCTCCTCCTTTCACAAAGGGCGCAGGCATAGTGAACATAGCTACAGGGGGTGCTGAGGCTGTGAAGTTATAAAGTAGACACAGTGGATCTTTGCTTCACTTAGAGTAAGATTTGTAGATTTAGCCAGAGTCCCAGAAGTGATTTCAGATCAGTGACTGCCTTTATCAGATGCTGGGCTACCAGTTGTCTTTTCAACTGTTGAAGAACAGGAAAATAGTGTCCACATGTGAAGGAATAGGATATGGATGTCAACATCATCCTCAGATCGAGGAAAGTCATATTGTCTTTTAGAGAAGAGGGAAACATCTACTTAGGCAGAAAAGTGGAGCATTCCCCAAGGTGGTACACGAAATTGGGTTAAGCATCCATCCTTCTGTGGTCCTGACTGCATCAGTATGTGCCTCTGAAAGTAGAAGCAGAAAGAAAATGCCTAAAGTGTGAGCCACCTTTTGTCTTGTATTCTGGAGATTTAAATGGAGAGTGGGTCAACATGGCTTGAGAAATGGTGAATATGAAAAAAGAATTTCTGTGATGTGTAACTTGAGGAAGTCTTGGCGTTTGCTAATTTATGCAATCTATAGCTTAGGTTTTGAAATTTCACCTGTGCACAAAAATACAGCCCTATATGAATAAAGACCAAGTTAGCTTCAGCTTAAAGAAAATTAGCCCATAAGTGGCATCTTAATAAAAGTGGAAGGAAATAAAAGTGATCATTATTGTTCAGGGCTGTAGGGAGTAGGGATATGAAAGGTAGGATGGTAATAATAAGAGCAATAAGCAATAAGAGTTTGCAGGTTTTTTCTTGTAAGACTTGGTTTTAAAAATTTGTGATTTATCCTTAAACTTGAGAGTTCTGAAGTTAAATATGTATGTTAGAGAAGGTTAGCTGGAGAATACTTTAAACAGGTGGTTTTCAACTTCTAAAAGTTGAAATGACAAACACAGACAGACAGACCTACAGCCTTTTATCTTATGAGGTCAGGGTCTGAATGTGATGATGCAGGCAAAAATTAAATTTTCATTGTTACCTGACTTTTTTATTCTTGAAAGGTGCTCCTAGAACTGGAGAATTGCCCACCAAGAGTTTTTGGAATACAGTTTGAAAAGTCCCACTTTGAAGCAATTCATGCTACAATGTGTTTTTGTCTCTCTTGTGCCCCTCTTTGTTTTGTTGCAGTTTTTTATGTTCGGCCATATTGTATGCACAATCTCTAAGACCAGGTATTAAGAGTGGCCGATAAGGTAGCTATCAAGTAAGGTTTTTAGTTTAAACTGAATCTTTTTTAGTTTGTTTGTTTTTTGCTAGGCAGTGGGGTTAAGTGACTTGCCCAGAGTCACACAGCTAGTAAGTGTCAAGTGTCTGAGGCCTGATTTGAACTCAGGTCCTTCTGACTCTAGGGCCGGTGCTCTATCCACTGCGCCACCTACCTGCCCCTACACTAAATCTTCTTAGTGGGGCGATTGGTCCGTCAGCCTGTTTGAATTTCTTTACGTGGCACAGTCTCTGCATAAGAGCCCTTGTCCCTACACTTCTTCCCTCTTGTGAAAGTAGTGACTTGTTATCAAACATTTTAGATGCTTTAACAATGGGGAAGTCTCCTGAAATATGTCTGATATTTCCACAAGCACCTCCTCAGAAATGCCCTGAAATGAGTTATCTTATGGCAGGCAGTTCTGTACCCCCTGGATGTGGGCCTTGGGGAAGTCTCAGCACATGTGACAGTGTTTGTTAATGGCCATTTACTTCATCTTTCCAGATACCTACATTCAGAAAACCAAAAAACTGTACATTGACAGCCGCGCACGGAGGAACCTGGGCTCCATCAACACTGAATTGCAGGATGTGCAGAGAATCATGGTGGCCAATATTGAAGAGGTCTTACAGCGAGGGGAAGCCCTCTCAGGTACCTTTGTCCTAAGAGCAATACAGTTCTAATGAACAGATCACTCTTATTCCAGAAAGACTAGTAGATAGCTTAAGGGGTCCTTGCACTGTGTCTTGTTTTATGAAGAGTTCACCTGGTTAATAGTAAAATGAAGCTAACAGAATGATTAATATTTCTTCAATATCTATGGTATATTGGGTTCATGCATGTTAAAGGCAGTTAAGGCCCTCAGTATTTTAGCATCTAAAAAAACATGCACAAGTTAGGGGAAATGGAGGCAAGGAAGCTTTTGAGTACTTATTGACATTGTCTCTCAGTTGGTTTCCCTTATTCTAGTCTTTTACTCCTTCTAATCCAGTGTCTTTCAGGTTACTTTAAACTTTTCAAATGCTACTTGAATCATGTTATCCTGCCCCAAAAACGTTCTCTAGTTTTGTATTACTTATAATATGTAGTCCAAATTTCTTAACTGAATGTTCAAAGTCCTCCATGTTTTTGGTTCTGATTTGCCTTTCCAAATGCATCTCCAGCTGTTTTCCAGCACCCTACCCATTGGTACAATCAGACCAATTTCCTAATTTTCCCTCATTCATCCTTCCCTCTGTACCATAGCTAAAATGCTGTGAACATCCCCCCTTTACTTGGACTCTCCAAATTTTACCTATTCTTCAAGGTCTAGCTTAACTCCTGCTGCCTCCCAAGAAGCAAAAAGAATATGGCTTATCCAAGAGAATAGTTTGTAAACAATTCTGTCTGGTGGCAGGTACATTGTGTTGAGCCTCTTTATAGTCAGACAGTGTCTCTTAGGGGCTCTTCTTCCTCAGCCCCAAAGTCTATGAATTATTCTTACTTTGAAGGTTAAGACATCTGCAGAGCTTCTTTGGTTGCTTTCAATAAGACCTGGCTATCAGCTGATTTCTTCTGGATTTTATCAGTACAAGTGTTCAGAAGGCACAGAAGTGCATTTTCTAAGCCAGGTGTCTCCTTTTGCAGTGATTCTTACCACTTAGTGATAAGCAACGCTAATGTCTTTGTATCATTGCCTGCCATTTTTTCGTTCATTTTTCTGCCTCATTTGTCTTATTCTTGCATTATTAGCCTTATGTCATAGATCTAATGGGCAACTTAGAAGTAGCTGCAATGCCCACATTTAGTTTAATGTTGCAAAATTTTATAAACAAACCCACTAGATTTCCCCAAAAACATTCTCTAAGGAATACCCTTACAGATTCAACTTAAAAAAGGGAAGTTGTGCAAAATTTCAAAGGGGTAAAAGGTTGAGCTCTTTGGTGGAAGCTATTTCCACTTTAACTATTGTAACATTTCTGCTATTCACATGTTGTGATTGAAGCCTAGTTTCTAATCTTATGTCTAATTTGACTTAGTATTGTTTCCCTATACCTTTCAGCCATTATTCATAAAAATTCCTGGAGATGTTGAGAAACTATTGCTATTGTATCTTACATAAGAGAGGCCTTTGTTAATGAGGAAAGACACGACAAAGTTTAGCATGTGGAATATTGGTGATATTGAAGCATATGCTATTGTAGTTATTATTTATACCCAAAGTGAGATATAGGGATTTCCATAACATTGTGTTTTCTGAAATAGCTTCATATTCACCTTCATGAGAGTTTTTTGTTATGAAAAAGTTTAATGAATTGCTAAAGAACACTGGTTAAGACAGGGGTAGAATTAGGTTCAAAAATTGGAGTCCGTTTCCCGAAGATTTAGCACATAGGCAACAAATGAACATAAATGCATACATGGGAAAAACGATCCATTTTCAAAGAATTTAAATATGATAAACTGCATTAAATAACCATCTATAAGCCTTTAATAAATGCTTGTCGATTAGTTGATTCAAAATCTGCCAAGTCATTGGGATGGATAGTCCTTCCACAAAGCCATCAGTTAGTGCCAGGCACTATGCTAAATGTTAGGTATACAAAGAAAGGGAAAAACACTGTCTCCTCAGTTGTGTTCTAGAAAGGGAGATAATAAAGTATACAAAAGATCATTTCTTATAACGCAGATTACAATTCTTCCATGCCTTAGATAGTTTCATGAGTTGCTGTGGTTAAAATAATTCATCATCTATGCAGAGCCTTCTGGTAATGAGCCTTGTCTGAGCAGATAGTCTGGTCGTCTGGTAGCAGATGTAAGAATCCGTAGCTGGGTCCACTGAGACCCTTCCAGCTTGATCGCCCCTTTAGTTGCTTCATTCTTTTGGCATAGTCTTGCAAAGCTCAGGGCTGCTTGCAGGCCACAATGGGATTTTACTGTGTCAGACTCAGTATTTCCTAGAACCATAGACTTATAGCCAATAGAGTATTGCACTTGCAGTCAAGAATCCCACCTCACTTATTAGTTGTGTGACGTAAGACACTTAGCCACTTAAGGCCTCAGTTTTCCTTATTTTTTAAAATGGGGATTAAAAAGACTTGCACCACCTGCCTTCCAGAATTGTGAGGAAAGCATTGTGTGAATCTTACAACACCACAGAAAGTAGTCGTAGTCCAGTGCACTCACTCTTTGCCATGAATTAAGTAGTTTGTGGAATTAAAGGAAATGCTTAGAGGATTCCAGTTCATTATTTTTGGGTTCACCTAGGGATGACCAGTAAAACCTTTTGTATTTCTGCCCTTCTCATGGAGAATCTTTCAGAAATGTCTAGTCCATTTCCCTGCTTTAGGTAGCTCAGGGCAGTAAGAATAACAGTTTCTTTTCTTTCCACATTTTGAACATGAACTTTTGTACACAGGGCTCTAGATGTAGTGTGAGGAAGAAACTGGGTTGAATCTGTACTGCCCCAGGACTCAGACTGGCAAGTGCTTTTCTGAATAAATTCCTGATTTCATGTTGTTTGACCCTCTAAGACTGACTGATCCCCTGCAGTGCATGTAACTTAGTCTTTGATGTTTCAGAAGGTCCTTGAGGATCTTACAGGGACACAGGACTGACCTATCATCAGTGTCAGTGATCAGCATACAGCCTTCCTCTTCCTCTCCTCCCCTTCCCTGTTTCAGTGTTCTGTTTAGAACTTGGTTAATGGAAGCTTATCATTAGTAACAATTATTATTTTTATTATAGGAAAGGGACCCTGAAGGTCCCTTGGTAGTGGCTCATTTGTATTTTTACTGGTTTGTTTCAACATATTCTTAAAATAAAAAAAAATTAGTGTCCTAGGTTGTCATTTTCTGAGGGGTTTATTTCTATTAATATTGATAAGGGGATATTGATCTATCATGTTTATATACCTTTCTTTGTGTCATGGACCCCTATGGCAGTCTAATGAAACCTCTGAACCCTTTCTCAGAATGATGTTTTTAAATGCATAAAATAAAACATAAAAGATTACAAAGGAAACTAATTCTGTTGAAATACAGGTATTGAAATATGTAAAAACAAGTTCACAGCCTCTAAGATCCCTGCCACAGAGCCAGTTTATATGTTAGAGTTGGAAGGAACCCAGCACAACTTGGTACAGCTTTCCCCTTACTCCTGAATTATGTGAATCCTCTGGTGTTCTCAGTATGTGCTGTTCATGGAAAGTATATCACTTATTAATCCCATAACATAATAAAACAGGAGATGGGAGGAAGTGCTTTCATTTTAATTAAGACAATGTTGATAAAAGGTCTCTTCAACTAATTTGTTTTATTCCACTTTTACTTTTTGACAGCATTGGATTCCAAAGCCAACAATTTGTCCAGTTTGTCCAAGAAGTATCGTCAGGATGCGAAGTATTTGAACATGCGTTCCACCTATGCCAAACTGGCGGCAGTCGCTGTGTTTTTTATCATGTTGATAGTGTATGTACGATTCTGGTGGCTTTGAACGCGTTCATGCCGTCCTTGGCAGGGGAGAGCCTGAAACATGGCAGGTGTATGTTTGCAGGACACTGAGTGCACAGGGCTGTGCATTAGGATCCAAATGGGACTTGTGACTCTGGAGACCTAGAAAGAAAGGAAGTGTCCTAAATGCCGTAGGCTACCCCTCATTTAGTGAAGCTTAACCCTCTGAAGAAGGTCTTGTTGGGGACTAAAGACTTTCTCTGGGTGGCAAACTGTATGTGTTAGGGAACAGTAGACTTCCCTCCCTGTCCCATCCCCCCCCACCGTGTTCTGAAACCCTTAGGTAGCATTGACTAGGGCATTCCCTTTCTGGAATGGATCCATCCTTGGGATTCACACTAACCAACTTAAACTTGCACCACCTCAGTCCTTCTTTCAGAGAGGGCAGCCCTAATGGAAACTGTTGAGCGCCAATGAACATTCCTGATGTGGGTAATGTTTGTTTTTTTCTGGAATCTGGATCTTCAATGGCCACTCAAACAAGACTCCTGTATGTGAAGGCTGATTTCTGTACATATCTTAATGTCTTTTTCTTCTGTGAGAAGTTAACTTGGTTGTTTTCCTTTTCTGATACTTTGCTTATTGCACAATTGCTATGGGGTTAAATGAATATTAAATGGAGATGCCTTGAAATTATGCTGTATCCCCTCCCTGATTAGGAAGGTAACAGGCTTTCTATAATGTAATACTTAAACATGTGTTAAACCATTGTGGGAAGTTCTTAATTTCCTTCCTTAGCATCCTTCTTTGTATAACACAGGGGAGAAGAGTAAGAGTGTCTGAATACTGTTACTGGCTAGAGGATTAGCACCTATTCTAGCTCCTCTCTTGCTTCCATTTAGTAGTTTTTTACTTTTTTGTTTTTCCCCATGTATATTTCTATGATCGGTGCTGGGAGGAGGGAGGGCAGAAGAGGTCACTTTGAACAACAGTCTTAAGCTTCATGACCAGCATTTTCAGGTATAATCCAGATGATAAAATAGAAAATGTTCTTATATGTAGGGAATCAGTTTTTGATTTCAGTTTTTCTGTGTTTTATTATAAATATTTTTAACCAAGGAAGTCTGTCAGAATTATCAATGTTCCTCCTGTTTGTGTACGCTTTCTAAGAAAGTTACATTTCTAAGAATAGAAATCTCATTTACTGTATTTTTTAATAGCTAATAGAAAGAAATCTGACCTCACATCCACTCTTTCCCTCACCTGTGTGCTCTTTCTTAAGCACCTGGCTCTCTTGTTTCTCCCACTGCTAGGGTGATAGAAATTTCCTTTTACTTTTGGAGGTGGGATTTTTGGAATGGAGAGAATTGATGCATAAGAACAGAGGTGAGGTGAGGAAAAATCTAATGCAGCCTATCTAGTACCTCCTCCCCATGGAACAAATACTGTTTGAGAAGAGGTAGAAAGACACTGACCAGCTTAATCCTCAGCACTTTAAAAATGTCTTTAGTTCTAAGTCCAGTAGGTATGACTTTCTAACTACAAAAGGTTATTTAAGGTCCAAACCCTAATTAGGAGTTGGGAGGGAATCAGTTTCCCACATAATAAGACAAGGAAAGAGATTTGATTTGTCTCTTCTAATTTACTTAGAAGCCTCTGAGAAAACCTGGTATAGTAGCAACTGTTATGACCTCAGCATGGATAGGAGTCTGCCAACCTCCCCAGAACAATTGGTGTGACTACAGTTCATCAGAAACTGAGCCCAGATCAAAATAATTGATGATTAGTTTTTTCGAGTGGTCAAAAGTTGCCCTTTGTAGACAGAAATAGTCCCCCCAAATCTTGTCTCTGTGTAGCTGAATGTTCCTGCTATGTAGGTCTGTAAAAGGCTGAAGATTGATCCAATATGGCTCGCAGAAATTTTGGTGCCATTCAGGAGTGGAGAATGTGGCAGCTTGATCAAAGTCGAGTGCTGCCATCTGAGGGTCAGCAATGAAATAAATTTCTTCTAAGAACATCCCCTTCCTTTGTGGAGTTTTCTGTTGTCTAGTTTATTTATGATGCATATCCATACTTTTACCATATATAGTGTTAGCTAACCTGGATATATTTTTGTTTCAAAGTTCAGAGGAAGAATATTGTTGAATGGATAAAGGAGTGAGAAAAAAATTTTTTTTTGTTTTATTTGGGAAATAAAAAACCGAGAGGACAAGATTTTCAGCTTAAGGGTTCCTGGTAGTGTCTTTAGAGAAAGGACATAGCTAAATAGAATTAATCGAAATGCTAAAACCAAAAAACTCCAAACCAGTGTGGACAGGAATCTGCGAACCTTCCCGGAATGACTAATGTGACTGCAGTTACCAGAAAGGAGCTGCCAGATCTCCCACTTTTGAAGAATCAGACTGTTGGAGTTAGAAGGGGCAGAGAGGGAAACTAAAGTAACCTAGGGTTTTTTAAGGTCTCAAAGCTGGGACCAGAACCTCGATTTTTAACTAGTCCGTGCTGTTTCTTCATCACACTTCATCACAAAATCTCTGAGTTAGAAATTACCTCTAGGGCTATCTTTTCTAACGCCTCTGCCCAAACAGGAGCCCCCCTCTAGAGGATCTGTAACAAGCATTCTTTCTCCCTTCCCTTTGAAGAGTTCCTTTGATGGGGGGAACTCACTACCCATTGCTGAAGCAGCCAGTTCCAGGTTTGTACAGCTCTTAATGATTCAGAAGTTTTCCCCTTAATAAAAGGGTTAAAATCTGCCTCTTTGCTGTTTGCCATCATCGATCCTCATCCTGCCCTTTGGAGCCAAGTCAAAGAAATCTGATCTCTTCTGTGTTTCTTAGCCCTTCTGATACTTGCCTATATTCCCTTCTCGACATAACTACTTGGCATTCCTATCACCTTTAACAAGCCAGGTAACCCTCCTGTGCTTCAGTTTCCTCATCTGCAAAATGAAAGGTTGGACTAGACATCCTGTAATGTCCCTGCCACCTCTAGATCTGTAATCCCAGGTCTGCCATCTCCCCTCCCCCAAAGCTTGCAGGTTAAACACCCCCAGTTCCTTCCTCAAAAGACATTCCTTTGGCTAGAAACAGTATGTTAGGATTAGAATATCTCAAGTTATACACCTCGATTCATATCACACTACTTCTCTTGTTTAAGATATAGAAGAAGGACATTTTTGAGAATGCTGACAGCCTCCAAAAGTGACATGAAGGAAAACTGAAGATTAAATGCACTTTAATCTGCAGTTTTAAAATATACTGCCATGACTTATTAAGAGAGTTTCCTTCTGGTGAAAACGTGGGTTCAAATCCCAGCTCGCCCAAACTGACTGTGTGGCCGGGGCAAGTCAGTTTAATCTTTCACTGTCCCGGCAACTCTGTGATAGTTGTAGAATAGTTGCACTTGCAGATATGGATGAGGGAGTTTCCTTACCGGGAGGAACTATCTAGCTATAATAGAGGGTCGGAACATCAGTTGCTGCCTGCCCTTCCCATGAGTCGTCACGTAGCTTTTCTCTGTGTAACTGCCTTCCCCCCTTCACTCGTTGTCCCTGAACATTCTTCAACCCTTCCCTTTCCCTGGTAGCAGTATTAGCCCATAAACCTCCACCCTTCTCCTCTAGGCCTCAGCCTCTCAAGGTGATTATAATCTGCCTGCATCCCAGACGCCTACACCAGCAGCACACCCAAACAGTGTCTGGTAAGAGCCCTAACCACCCTCCCTTCCCCCAACCCACACATCTTTTTTAGTTTTGTTGGAAGATAGTGAGTTGTGGATATGGATAGGTTTTAGTCTGCATCAAAAATCTCGCTACATTATTTTTCTCTAAAAGCCCATCTCTTTTTCTAAACATATCTATCTATGTCAGCCACCATCCTACCACAGTGTTTCTGCCAGGTTTACAATCAGTTTTCCAATTTTCACTTGCTGTCAGTCAGTTGCCTAGCTTTGTCAGTGCTACCTCGAGAACATCCCATGCATGCCCTCTTCACTCATATAGGGGTGCTTAGAATATTTTAGAGCTCACTGCCCTAGACCAGTGCAATAATCTGGATTACCTTCTAGGTATTACTAGTCATTGGGAATACAAAGATATATAGATATGTCTATATATAGTCTCAGTTCTCAAGAGGGTCACAGTCTAGTAAGTTCTTGTGAGAGTTATGGGAGACTGGGCTAAACCATCTCCCAGTTTTATGATTTCTTTGAGACATCAGTATTTCCAGCGTGATAAACATTGTGATGTTTTCTAAGTTTAACAAAATAGGTTTATTTAAAATGTTATTTCCTCTTTTGGAGACCAGTTCAAGGACAATATTCCCAAGCAGGACAGGCTGTAAGGTAAAATTGAAATTAACTGTCAGTCAACTATGTCTACTGTGTGCCATTTATTAAGTGCCTACTATGTGCTGCACTGTTGCTAATATGATGCTAATATTACTATGATGACTTGGACTATAATCAGCAAATAATATCCCACCCTGGGGATATGAAAAGAGGCAAAAATCTCCTTGCCTTCAAGGAGCTAGGTGGCTAGAAGTCTGTTACTGTAGTAAAGCTGAACTCCTTCCTTTTGTAGCCCCCAAAATCATAGATTCATAGCTAGGAGGAATTTTAGAAGTCAAGATGGTCAACTACTTCATTTTACAGCACTCTGAGATCCTAAGTGACGCGCAGGGTCGCAGTGAGGTTTTGGGTGGGGATTGAACTCAGATCTTCCGACTTCAAGCCCAGCGACTTATCCGATACACTACACCGTCTCTCACTGTGCCTTCTGTGAGTAACTCAGCTCCTCTTTTCTTTCTCCCATTTATCTCCCCAAATCAAAGTTCACTGCTCTGCTATCTCATTCCTTCAAGGATCCTGTTGGAAATCCCTGAGACCCTTTCAAAGTCCAGACTTTTCATAATAATACTAAGTTATTTCAGTTTCTAATATGGTATCAATAGGTATAACCCCCCTAAACAAAAACTCCCTTGGGAGGCAGGGGGTCCTCAGTGATTTTGAAGAGTATAACGGTCCTCAGTGATTTTGAAGAGTATAACGGGTCCTGAGACCAGAAAGTTTGGGAGCAGTTGTAGTTGTGATTTCAAAGCCACGAATGTCTGTTTGTCTGTGACATTAAATATTAGCAGCCTGCGTGATGCAAGTCTGTGACACCTCATGAGCCCAGCTAAGACTTGGCTTCTGTGCCTCGTACAGATGTTTTGAGATGGTTTGTGTCTTGTGTTTTGCTGTTACAGCCCCCCACTGGATCCCCTGTCACCCTGTTTAGCCTGGGGAAGAAACCACTGACCTTTTCCTTCCTGAGCTTGCTGTGCTTTCTGAACACAGCCTGTGTTGGGTTTTCAGGCTGTCAGCTTTTATTCCTACTTTTTTGTTTTTTTTTTCAGGGGTTTAAGGGGTTGGCCCTTAGCTCTGATTTCATTTGCATATAGGTCTCTCTCTGCAGCAAATCTCCCTCTACCAATGCACATGGGCATTCCTGAGAAATTTTATCACTCGCTGAAGGTCAGATGGCCAGTATGTGTCAGCGATGAAACTTGAGTCCGGGTTTCCCTGGCCCGGAGGCCGTTTTTATCCACTAATCCATGTTGTGGTTCTTCAGTTGTGACCCCCTTTGGGGTTTTCTTGGCAAAGATCCTGGAGTCATTTACCATTTCCTTCTCCAGCTCATTTTACAGATGAGGAAACTGAGGAAAACAGGGTGAAGTGACTTTCGCAGAGTCACACAGTTTCTAAGTGTCTGAGGCCAGATTTCAACTCCAAAATGAGTCTTCCTGATTCCAGGCCTGGCAGCCTCTGCACTATGGCTCCACCTAGCTGCCCCACCGCTAATCCATGCTGCCTCTCTTAGTACTCTGGATTTTCAAGACAATGGGCAATTACCACAATTTTAAGATGGGAAAATGACTTCAGTTTAATTCAGTGAACACTAAGTGCCTGTTATGTCTCAGGCACTGTGCTAAATGATAACGATCTTATGAATTAATTCTGCTCGTACATGCCAGTGCCAGAGAGCTAGGCCTCAGTATTTGTTAGGTCCTTCATTAGGTCTGCCCAGTCTAGTGCCAGTCCAGCTGCCTTGTGTCAGGGCAAGATGTCCAATCGGTTCCTCCTGCTCTCCTGCTGATGGCTTCTGTTTGTCGTGGCTGTTGGTGACTCAGACCTTCTGGAATTTGTTTCTCTAACCCTTGTATCCCCATGTGGGCCCAAGACCTTTGGCAGGCACTCCCTCCTATATCTCCCTCAGACAGATCCATTTGTCCTAAGCTTTTTACCTTAAAAGAGCTTATGTTCACCCCAGACTCCTGCCATGGAAATAGCGAAGACGTTTCCTTGCCGATTATAGCCGTAGTCACTCACCATAGCAAGACCTCGGAGAGCAAAATTAGAAGTATGATTCTTGGGCTTTATAACATGTCCAACAAATCTTCAGGCTGCACTTGATCTCAAGGGATGGAAACACGTCACCTTCAAAGGAGGACTACTTCACGTTTTATGACTCTAATGATTAGGACATTTTTCCTTATATTGAGATGAAAACTGCACTCTTGTGACTGCCCCTTGGTCCTACTTCTGCCCCCTCTGGCACAATAAACCTAATTCTTTCATGAGACGGCCCTTTGAGTACTTGAAAGCAGCTATTATATTGCCCATTTCCCCTCTACTGCTCTTCCCCAGACAGCTTCTTCAGTTATCGATTCTGTGTATGGAATGGTTTTGCATCCTTTCGCTATCCTATTTGCCCTTGTTTGGGAATATTGTCAGTGTCTTCCAGAAATGTACCCAGAATGTCCACAGTACCTTGGATGTGTTCTGACTGTGGCAGGAGACACAATAATCACTTCCTTTAAACTCTTACTTGGATGCCTCTTTGTGGTTTGGAGGTGACCTTAAATTCTTGAAGGCTGTATTCCTCAGGGGAACCAAAGCCCTGGACATTCCTGCCGGGCTATAAAGTGGTCCAGACTGATCCTTGTCAGTGAGTCAGCAAACATTTATTGAGCGCTTTCT